GATAGATAGATACTCACATTTTCAACCTAAGGCATGCAAATGTTCTCCTTCAATTTTCAAATATCTGAGTACCTGACCATAGTAGGAATCTATTTTTCTGTCAGTGTTTAATGTCAGTAAAAATGTATTTTACATTCACATCCAATATGTAGTACCAGAGGTATTTCTCATGCCCTTGTTTTTCACATTCCATAGCTTTTGCCTAAAAGACAGTTCAATCTTTAATTTTTTAACTGTGTTTTCATGGAAAATGTCAAACATGTATGAAAGTAGAAATAATGTAATGAACCCCTAAGTACCTATTGTTCAACCAAGCTATAATAAATTCTCAGTTAATTTTGTTTTATATTTTCATTTATGTTCCTATCCCCCTCCTACACCAAATATTTTGAAGTAAATCCTAGACATTCTATTTTTTCATCTCTAAATACTTTAGTTAGTACATACCTCTAGAAGAAATCTCTATTTCTCCTTTTTTTGTGGTACTAGGGATTGAATTTAGGGCTTACCACTTAAGCCATGCCCCCAGTCCTTTTGCTTTTAGTTTGTTTTTCAGATAGGGTCTCACTCTTTTGTCCTGGTTAGTTTAGAACCATGATCCTCCTGAATTACAGGCCTGTGCTGCCCTCCCCAGCCCTATGCCCCCAGAGGTATCTCCTTAAAAAACCCTGAAGGAGATTATAGATGACCTCTCATTTTTCACTCTTGTCTCTGAGAGGTAGCATCTAGTTCCCCTTACCTTGGATTGCATCTGACCAGAGTCACCCGCTTAATTAGTATAATAGTCCAGAAGTGTTGCCCTGGCACTGCCATAGTTAGATCTTAAGAAGCTTTGAAACTTCAATCTGGACCTCTTAGTACATATTCTGAGAGTTCTGAGATGTCATATAAGATGTCTGATGGCCCAGAATCCCTGTGCTGAACAGGTCAATGTGACTGCTCTGGTTAGAAGTTTCAGTGGAATCCTGCTGACTAGTTTTCCTCTCCAAGGTACCATGCATGTAAAGAAGACCATCCTGGACTTCCTACTTCTGCCATGTGCCAAGTGAACGCCACCAAGTGGCTTCCGTTGATGCCATGTGATGCAGAAAAGTCACTCAACTGAGTTCTGTTCTAAGTGTTGGCCCACAAAATCATGAAATTTAATTGTGTCCCGCTTTAAGTCACTATGTTTTGGGGCTATTTATTATGCTTCAACCACAAAAGCCTTGCCACTCCTAAAACAATCACCAGTAATTCTCTAAAATATCAAATATCCTGTGTTCAAATCCCAAATAATCTTTAAGTGTCCCTTATTTATTTATTTATTTATTTGTGACAGAATCTTACATGCAACTCAGGCTGGCCATGAATTTGTGATCCTTCTGCTTCACATTCTTCAGTGCTGGGCTTACAGGCATGCTCCACCACACACAGCTACAAATATTCTTTATTCTCATTTTTAAAAAATTATTTTGTTTTAACTGGTATCTAAGTAAATTCCATTGGTAGTAATTAACTTTTATATTTCTCTCTCAAGTCTCTCAATCTATTGGTTTTCTGTACTCCTTCTGCCATCTTCAAATTATTTGTGTAAAAAACTGGTCCATTTGTTCTCAGAGTTTCCCATTATCTATATTTTAATATCATTTTATATATTCTCCTATTACCTGCCATTCCTGTAAGTTAGAAAGTAGATCCAGAGGCTTGGTCTGTGTCAAGTTTGGTTTTTTTTTTTTTGGCAAGACTAGTTCATAAGTGCTATTGCACAATTCTATCAGAAGGCATATCACGTCAAGTTGCTTCTTCTTCTGTGATTTTAACAGCCATTGAGAATTATTGCCTTGCAAAATAGAGATATCACTTAGCTGTTACTATACAAGATCAAAGTATCTCAGCATCATACAGAAGCAAGTACTTACTTTGCTCATTTCCCCCAACCACCACCACACACACATACCCCATGTGTCTGCATTCACAATAAGGTCCAGGCTCCAGGCCTGGGGCTGAGGTGTGTATGGGGTAGGTTTATTTTGCCTCCTCCTTCTATACAGACTGAGTAAGAACACAGCCTGTTAGAAGTACCAGGAGGCCATTAGTTCACTTATTTATCATCACTCTCACTTCATTTCTTCAACACAGCAAGTCATATGGCAAATCCAAAGTCAAGAGGTGGCAAAGTACTGCTGCCTCCAGTGGGTGGTGGGCAGTCAACCTCCAGGCTGAAATGCCTATGCATAGGCAATGACAAGGCTTTACCTAGCAGGTCTCATGGAGGGAAGCTGCCAATGCATCCCAATCTCTGCAGGGAGGTACACTAAAGGACTCATACTCCTCATGTTCCCATGTATTAGCCCAGGAGCCTCCCTTTAGAGGTCTCTTTACTAGGGGCCTCAGCTGAGGTCTTCCCAGGTGCATCTTCCAGAATTCGCTTTTTGTGGACCTCGGCTGAGGCATTCTTCTGCACTTTGATTGTTATACTTTTGTACTCTGAGCCCTTTCCTTTATCTCTCCTTCTTGCTCCTGGGTCTATAAAAAAGCAGGAGCCTTTCATCCAGAGCTCCCTAGCAGCAAGATTTCTTGTCTGTACTTGCATCTATCTGACCCTAATCTGGTGGTGTTCCATGGGAAATCTGAAACCCTAGGACAGGTGCCTTTCTCTTTTGCCTCTTGGTGGCATAAGAAAATGCCAGTGAATGCATAAGGCTAAATTGTTGCTTTCAGTTTAGGTTGAGTCCTAATTGACTACCACAAGCCTAGTGGCTCAGCAGGATGGTATTGCAAAGTTACATAGAAAGTGGATACGAGAAGGGGTGAAGAATTGAGTCAATACCAGTCTATCAGAGTGAGAACCCACTATTATTTTTCCTTTATTAATAAAGTAGAGTATTTCTATAAAAGGAAATTAGTCAATTTTTCTAGTCAGCTAATACTTAGAATTTTAGAAAGGTGACAAGTGAGTCTCATTGGATTTTTAAAATATTAATTTATGGATTTTAAATATATTTAATGTATTCAATCTGTTTTACTTACTGTCCTGATTATTGCCTAAGTTCTCCCATCTTTTACCAGTATAACTCATGAAGTTGCTCCTGAATCTTTTTAACATAGCCACAGTTGTCTTTCATAGCTTCCTTGTTTCTGGTAGTCAGGATATGCCTGACCTGAAATGAAGCATTCGGCACATTAATTTTTTAAGATATAGAAAGATCTGGCGATAGATGGTGAATTTGTTTTTTAATATGTCTGAAGAGAATTTACTTTTAGTTGTTGAAAGCTTAAGTAATTTTGTTACCAGGAAAAAAATATGTATAAAAACATGTTTCAAACATTCAGATTAGTTAGTGTGGTGGTATTGTTTCCACAGAATTTAAGAAGAAAATCCAAGTCATTTTTGGAGGAAGCTGACTTCAGAGGGAGAAAATTCCATGTTAGCATACATTCCTCTTCAGTCTTGAAGTGGGGGCTACCAGTGTGACATCCTGCCGTCCATACCAAGGACTAGAATTCATCTTTGGCTTTAATAAAGCTTCATGACAATAACTACCTCCCATAGTTGTATGTATTTAATTCATTACTCAACTAAATTCAGCAAGTACTGGGTGAGTTCTTGGCATTGAGTAAAAGCAACCAGCTAAGCTATGTATGAAATGCAGAAGAAAAAGATGAGAAAAAATAAACTCCGTGCTTATGGGAAAACAAGTTAAATTTAGAAACAATTAGATTATGACCCGGGATAATACATAGCTACTGGTTTAAACAAGTGATGCTAATACTTAGTGCTGTAGGTTTTGAGAGAGAGAGACGAATTAGCTTAGCATGGTCAGAAGATGATTTATTGAGGAGTTAATCCTTGATTCAAACCCTGATGACCGCATGTTTCCATGGGCAAGAACTAGGAACACATGAGCAGTGACAAAGATAGTGGTAACAATGACATGAGGATGGTGGGGATGCCAGCCACCTTGGAGTAGAGGGTTCTGGCTGGGAGTACATGGGATGGAATCAGTTTCTTGGCACGTTTCACCATCATGCTGAGATTAGATTTCAGTAAAGCATCTGTCCTCTTCGTCTCACCTGCCAAGGTGTTTGCTGTTAACCTCCAGCTAGAATATTTATTTCTGGAAATGGCAGCATGATTAATGTTGGAAATGAACTAACAGAGTTTGGAGTGGGAAAAGCAAGACATGCAGAACAGGAATTGAAATGGATGGCAATAAAATGGAGATAGTAAACTCAGAGAGGGAGTCTATTCATTTATTGAATGAAATTTTTATCAGTGTATATTAATTGTGTATATGAAGTGTATATTAAGAGGTTGCACTATAGCGTTTCACGCATGTATACATTGTGGATTCATCAGATTAGCCCTCTCTATTGCTGTTTCTTTTCCCCATCCCCCTTTCTCCTATTTTTTTGACAGCTTTTAGTGGGTTGCCTTGTGCCATGTTCATACATAGACACAATATGTTTTGGTATTGCTTCCTATCATTTATTAAACAAATATTTATTGAGTACCTCTATGTTCAATGCACATGCTAGGTACTGAGACAGTGAACACTGTATCTTAAGAACCTGTTAATAGTCTGAATAATTGAAGAAGAATCAATAGCTTGATGTAATGACTTAATAATTGAATCCTTAAGAGTGTAATTTCAGATGCGGTGATAGTCCGAGAGAAGATTTTTTTATCACAGCTTTTCCTATCATCTGAAATAATTTCAGACACCTACTCAGCCACCAATGCATAATGCCTAAACTAAAATGTAAATTGATTTCCTCTGAACTGTTCATCTCTCTCTGTGCCTTCTCATATTCCCAGACTGCAAAAGCTCCTAGGAGGATAAAGGAGAAATAATGACAAGAGTTCTGGTTGTAGATAATGGGTCCAGTGTACTAATGGTAGGCTAGCTTCTCTGGAGCAGGGCCTTCCTTAAGGAAAATTGTCAGAGAGCCTGGGCAATGCAGTCATCAATAAATGGCACATATAATTTCCTTCTCTGCTTTGCGCACTGATCTAGGCACTGGAAATGCATACAGAAGAAGTTTCTGTGCCCATGGAGTTGATGATATTCTTGTGGAAAAACACGCATACACTATGCTTTCAGTTAGTGGTAAGTACTATGAAAAAAAGTATATCATGAGGAAGACTGGTAGAAATGTGTGTGTGTGTGTGTGTCTAGGATGGGGGAGGTTATTTTAATTGAGTGGATTAGGGAAGACCTCTGTGAAGAAATAATGTTGAAATGCTGCAGAAATAGTGTAGGAAAATAGACCAGCCAGTGGAAAGGCTTAAGACAGGAAGGGCTAGGAACAGTGAAGGGGAAGCATGAAGCTGTGAATGACCGGAATATTTCCAGCTTGGGTTAAGTGGTAAGAAAGGTGGCTCGGCCAAGACAGGTTCAATGGAAATATGTATTATTTGTTATGATGTGGATTGCAGGATGGTTTTGAGAATTGGATAGACATGCTCTGATTCCTATTTTGAGAACTTTTTAGATGCAATTTGGAAAATGATCTATAGAGAACAAGAGTGGAATCAGATCCATCAGGAGGTAGGTTAACAGTCACATGAGAGGTGATGGCAGTTTGGATTACAGTGTGGGGGTAGAAGTGAAAAGTAGCCAGACTTGAGGTATTTTAAAGTTGGAGTGGTAGAACTTGTTGATGAACTTGAGTCTGAAGACAAGTTAAAGAAGGGTGATCTCCTCGATCTGATGGTGACTGGCAGGCCCATGTATTGAAATCATTAAAGAATGGTAAAAGAAGGGATTTGGCACTCGCTTAATAGTTGTTGAATGAAGGAATGAATCAAATAAATAACAGCATTAAAAACCTGAGGTGGTGAGCAGGATAAATTGTCTACTTTGTCAATATTATGAGACAGTATGTATATAACAGTCTGAAGTCAGTTTAAGTCATGGAGTTTCTAGGCTTTCAAAATTTGTGGACTAGACATCTTTGAATAAATACAGTGCTGAATAAACAGGAGCGATGTAGAAGAAAAAAAAATTAAACTCATTCGAAGAGAATTAGCACCAGTCTTGAACTTCAAAATATTTTCAGGGCTTGAAGTAGGGGATAGAAAAAAGAAAACTAGGCATTTTCCTCTAAAACCCCTCTAGCAGCCCTGCTTTTACCTGGGTCATGTTCCTCCATTGACCGACTACTTTAGAAGTTCAAGGGAGAATGGGCAAGGGATGTTTCATTTATTTCTTGACAGTGTAGAAATAATCAATTGGACACCATGCCTTTAGCTGGAGCAGGGAACTAAAAATCTCTCGGAGTTTTACAGGCTGCCAAAAACACCCAGCTCATTTATCACCCTGTCTCCCTAGGCTCTCACAAACTTGTCCTCCTGCTTCCTGAACTGAGAGCTATAGAACAAGATAGTAGTCAGCTACCAGGATCAAGGTAGCAGGCCTTGAGACCAGGAGCAGGTTTATTCTGCATATGTTCACTGTAAGAAAGGAAAAAAACATAGGGAAAAAAGCAAAAGGGGAAAATATAAACTACCTTCAACAACCCCACTAGAACTACCTACCATTCACATTTTGTGGGACATTTTTCTAGGCAATTCTAAAGCAAAATCATACTAGGATACAATGATATATCGTTTCTTTTCTGTGTGGTGAGAACGTGTAAAATCTACTCTTACCAGTTTTCAAGAATAAAATATGTTGTTCTTAACAACAGTTATCATGTTGTACCACAGATCTCTTGGCTTAATCCTCCTGTCTAAAAGAAATTTTGTACCTTTAACCAATATTCCACCAAGAATTCCCCATTCCCTGGTAACCACCATTCTGCCTTTTAAAACATTTTTATTAGCATTTGATAATTATACAGGGAGTTTTGGTGTGACATTTCTCTCTCTCTGTCTCTCTCTGTCTCTCATTTGGTTCATCCCCTCCATTATTCTCCCTTCTACCACATTCTGTTCTTAACTTCAACAGGTTTCAGCGTTCCATATTCATACATGTATAGAGAGTACACCAACCATATTCATCCTCCTTTACCCTTTTCATTTACCCTTACCTTCCCAGTAGTGCCCTCCTCTGCTGTCCCCTGTTTTGTTCAGTGGGAATTTTGCCTTAGTATTTTACCTGTAAATATATTGTGATTAAATCAGTCTAACCCCCTCCCTCCACTGCTGTTTCTCCTCCTTCCTCCTAGTATTATTTAAACAGTTTTCAGTGTGTTCCATAGTGTCTTGTTCCTACACAGATGTGATACATTTCATTATTATTCACTCTCTATCATTCTTTGCTCCTCCCTTAGTGTCCTCTAACAGTCCCACTTTGGAAACATGTTCTGTTATAGTTCTATGTATATGTGATCATGTTTGTATTTGTTTTGGATCTATCGTTTACATATGAGCAAAACATATGCACTTTGTCTTTCTGAACTTGGCTAACTTGATGATACTCTGCAGTTCCATCCATTTACTTGCAAACAACAAAATTTCATCCTTCTTTATGGCAAAATAAAATTCAATGGTATATAAATACCATATTGTCTTAATCCGTTTATCAGTTGTAGGGTATTTGGGCTGTTTCCATAGGTTGGCTATTGTGAATAGTGTTGCAATAAACATAGGTGTGCAGGTGCCTTTATTGGACACTGGCTTACATTCCTTTGGGAGTGGTATTCCTGGATCATATGGCAGTTCTATTTTTAATTTATCAAGGAGACTCCATGCTGTTTTCCATAGTGGTTTTACCAATTTACATTCCCAACAACAGCGTATAAGGGTTCCTTCCCCCCCATCCTTGATGATAGCCATTCTAACAGGAATGAGGTGGAATCTTAATGTGGATTTGATTTGCGTTTCCTTTAAGGCCAGGGATGTTGAGCATTTCTTCATGTGTTTTTTGCCATTTGGACTTCTTCTTTGAAAAAGCTCTGTTCAGTTCATTCGCCCATTTCTTCATTGGGTCATTGATTCCTTGAGAGTTTAGGTTTTTGAGCTCCCTGTAAATTCTGGATATTAGTCCCTTATTAGACATAGTTTCTCCCATTCTGTGGGCTGTCTTTTCAGTCTGGTGACTGTTTCCTTTGCTGTGCAGAAGCTTTTTAGTTTCATGCAGTGCCATTTGTCAATCCCTTCTCTTAGTGTTGAGGCACTGCATTTCTATTTGGGAAGTTATTGCCTATGCCTATAATGTTCCTGTGTATTCCCTACTATTTCCTGCACTAGTTTGAAGAACGTTTCAGTCCTTATGTTAAGGTTTTTGGTCCATTTTGAATTGGTGTTTGTACAGGGTGAAAGACGTAGGCCTAGTTTCAGTCTTTTACATTCAGCTATCCAATTTTCCCAGCAAAATTTGTTGAAGGGGCTGTCTTTTCTCCATCGTATGTTTTAGGCACCTTTGTCAAAAATCAGGTGGCTGTAGCTGTGTGGATTTTTGTCTGCATCTTTTATTCTGTTCCATTGGTCTTCTGTTTTTGTGCCAGAATCAGGCTGTTCTTATTGCTGTGGTGCCATTCCACTTCCTCCTTCTGAGTTCAACTTTTTTTAGTTGGGTTTGAAGCTTTTCATCTATGCTTTCTTCTATGAGATTTATAGTTCTGGGCCTTAATTTTAAGTTGCTAATCAATTTTAGTTGATTTTTGTGTATGGCATGGGAATGTCTGATTTATTCTTCATGTATCCAGTTATCTGAACATCATTTATTGACGAGATTGTCCTTTCCCTAGTATGAGTTTTTGGCATCTTTGTTGAAAATGAGTCTCTGTGAGTGGATTTACTCCTGGGTGTTCTATTATGTTCCATTGGTCTATAGATCTGTTTTCATGCCAGTTCTGTGCTGTTTTTTGGGGGTTTTTGTTTGTTTGTTTGTTTTATTTTTTTAATGATACTGGAGTTTAAATTCATTCTTGCAAGGCAGGCACTCTACCACTTGAGCAATGCCTCCAGCCCTCGATGCTGTTTCAATTATGTATCACTGAAGTATAAGTTTAAATTAAGTGGTGTGGTGCTTTGTTTGTTTTGCTTAAGACACTTTTGGTACTCAGACATTTGTGTTTCCATATGAATTTTAGGATTGCTTTTTCTATTCTGTGAAAAGTGACATTGGAATTTTGATACAGATTGCATTGAATCTGTATATCATTTTGGATATTATGGACATTTTAATAACATTAATTTTCCAATCCATAAACACGGACTGTCTTTTCAATGATTTGCATCTTCTTCAGTTTCATCAATGTTTTATAGTGTTTAGCATACAGGTCATTTTTCTTTTTTGGAGGTACTGGGGTCTGAACTCAGAGCCTTTGCTTGCAAGGCAAGCACTCTACACTTAAGCCATGTCCTGAACCTTTATTTCTTAGTTATTTTTCAGATAGAGTGTACATTTTTTGCCAAGGCTGGCTTCAGACTGTGATCCCCTACTTAAGCCTCCTGCATAGCTGGGATACAGATGCACACCACACACCCAGCTTTTTGGTTGAGAAGGGTGTCACTTTTTTCCTGGATGAACTGCAGTCATCCCAGTCTTGTCTCCCAAGTAGCTCATAGTAAGTATGAGCACTGTGCTCAGCCTTCAACATACAGGTCTTTTACCCCATGGTTAAATTTATTTGTATTTTTTGTAGCTATTAAAAATAGAATTATTTTCTTGATATCTTTTTATGAAGTTTATTGTTAGTGTATGGAACACTATAGATTCTCATATGTCTGTTTTGCAGTTTTGCATTTTTGCCAAATCTATTTATTATTTCTAGCAGTTCTTTGGTGGAGCCTAATAACATTCTTGATCACATTTTCTTCTGATCCATTCCATTGCGTTTAGTTGTCACTTATGACACATTTCATGCTTGCTCTTTCTTCCTAAATCTGTGCCTTTATGAGCTTTAGGTTAAGATGCAGTTCTTTCACTCCTGTATTTAGGTCAGTAAGCACACTTTTTTAGCATGTGCTATGGTGAGCATTACATTAAGCCAGAAGAAGACAAAAGAAGTAGAGTTGGAAATTTCCTATGTGCCATCTCTTGGAGAGCAGTATTGCCATTCATGAAATAATGAGGTTTAGCTCCAAGGTAAACACAGTCAACTGTAAAATAAGCTGTGAGTGGTCAAGGATTAGAGAGAGGGACGGGATGGAAGGAGGGAGAAGTGAAGGAAGGAAGAGAGGGAGGAGGGAGGAGGAGGATGGAAGGAAAGGGAGGAAGAAGGGTGGAGAAAGGAAGAAGGAAGGAAGAGGAAGAAAAGGAATGAGGGAGGAAGGAAGAAGACGGAAGGAAAGGCTGAGCATGATGGCTCATGCCTGTAATCCTAGCTCAGGAGATGGAGATTAGGAGGGTCTCAGGTTTGAGCCAGTTCAAGAAAAAAAAAAAAGTTAGCTAGATCCCATCTCAACCAATAAGCTGGGATTGTGTTTCACATCTGTCATCCCAGCTATGTGGGAACACAGGTAGGAGGATCATTTTCTAAGGCTATTTTGGAAAAGTGAGTCTCTGTCTGAAAACCTAATAGCAAGAAAGACTGGGAGGTGTGGCTTATGTGGTAGGGCACTGCATAGCAAGTGCCAGGCCGTAATC